CCAGAGATCCCAACTACAGAAGTGGGAGCTCAGATGAGCAGCCGCCTGAGGTCCCAGCTTCAGGCGGTGAAGTAGAGCATGGAGAGGTAGAGCAGAGAGGCTCACCCGGGGGCGCTCCTAGCACCCCGGGTGATAGCATTTTAAACGAAGAGAGTGCTCCCCTCCAGGAGACCAGAGAGCAGGTAGGCTCTGATAAGGAGGTCTCCAACTCCCCAGCCGGCTCTGATGCCGGTCACGTTCAAAGTAGCAGTAGCAGCTACTTAACCGAATCTGAGGATAGCGAGGAGGCGGAGAGGCCTTCTTGGGATAATAGGAACGATCCTCTCATGATCGCCGTCTCCTCTAAGGACCGCGAGTTCATGCGGGCTGCGCTGCCAGATTTTATCAAACGGCGGCCGCTGGGGGGTGACTATTCAATAAAAATCCCGGCTGCTTTGGGAACAATATGGTGGGAGGATGGACAACCGAACGCGAACGCTTGGTTCGGGTGCTACGAGGCGGCCTTCGTGGCCGGAGTCCGCTTCCCTCTCCACGACACAATAAAAGCCATACTTAGGGGGTATGGCCTAGGTCTCTGGCAATTAACCCCCAACTCATGGGTAAATATTTTAGGGTATATCGCCGCCTGCGAGATGCAGGGCCTCAACCCCGGCTGGGAGGCGTTTGCCCACATGCATTACTTGAGTAGGAGCCAGGCGGCTGGAGAGCCTGGTATACCTTGACCACCCAGCCCAAATACCTTATGACCTTGGACAAGCCATCCAAATGGTCGGACTGGAAGCACCGGTTCTACTTGGTTAAGGCCCCAACTACGGCAGAGAACAGAGAATTCCGGATCTACAACCGGAAACCAGAACTCTTGGGGACCAAGTGCTGCCTGCCCCCTGTCCCGGAGGATGATAAAGAGACCATCCTTGACTCCGGGTTTTTTGAGTTAGTTCCTGACACCCTCTCATCCGGAGAGATAGTAAGGGTACCTAGAAACTGGGTGCCCAAACATGATTTTTTTAGGGACGAATGCTTCTTGTCCGCTTGTGGTCTAAGCAGCATGTTTAAAAAACGTATGTATTCGGAACTCAGCCGGTTTCTTTCGAACCGGATGCTTTTATTTCCTTGCTTATTTATTAATCTAACCGTGTGCCTTCCTCTGCAGAAGAAGCCAAGAAAATGCTGCCCACCGAGAAGACACCGGCTAGGTCGGCTGCCGACATCCGGAAAGCCAATCTCGAGAAAAAACTTGCTGCCCAGGCGGCGAAGAAGGTATAACCGTCTGATCCTTCTCGTTTATTTCAATCCTTTTATCCCATAACTTATATTTTTCTCGTTTACAGGACGGGAAGCAGATGCCCCGGTCCCTTCAAAAACAGGTCAGGCCTCCGCCGACCCAACAAGAGTCTGCATCCAAGGTGCAGAAGACAGCCGACCGGCAAACTATCGGCGGCAAATCAATAAAGGTCCCAGGCGGGCCTGGATCTG